GGGCATGCAACTCTTTCGTAGTCTTGGCTGGCCTTGGTCTGCCTCAGTTTGCCTCCTCGTATGGCTGAGATTTCCTGATCTGGATGGCCCAGATTTGTGTGTGCCTGGACCCGTTTGGCCTTGGAAACTTCTGGAACAATGCAGGCAGCCTTTGATGTGCATCAGATCTATGGCCGTGATTGACCCCTGAGAAGTCTCTGACTCTTTGGCTGGTTCTCCTGAGTTGGACCTGACTCCTGATTTTCCTGAAGTCAACTGCCTCTTCCTACCATCTTCCCCCGAATAGAACATACAGTCATTATAGCCGTATTTGGCTCACGTTTCAGTCCAGATGCAGCGAAAATGACCATACGTTGTTTTCGGGGGAAGAAGATAGGGACATGGGTTGCATCGTTTGACCCTTGACCCTGTACCTGTTGACCAAAGGACTTTTCTGAGATCCTTCTGGGGCAGGAGACGCGACTTTTGAAGCTGGCCTTGCACCAAACTTTACGACCCTGGACTGTCTGTGAGGATTTTTTGGGGGTTTCTTTGCAGCGTAGGCTGAGGGAAGCATTGATGCAGAGGACCGTCAATTTTGCTGGCAGTCAGTCCGTTCAGAAAGGGGAATAATTAATGCCATCAGCTTATTGTCCGTCCAACTTCCTTGTCAAGGGTTGGGGCCAGGGGGGGAGGGGAGGGCGGGTGGAGGATATATTGCTCAAGTAGGAAGCATTTTGGCTGGGGAATATGCTGAAGGTGTCGATTTCGCTGGTAGTCAATTCTTCCTAACAAGGAAGCAATCTGCAATGACGGCAAGGAAGTGGAAAACACTGAACAGTGCATGTGAGTTCAGCCATTAAAATGTGGAAGAACGCTGCCTTTAGGAGTGACCTTGCTGCGATCTCTAGATTTGTCTTGGGAGGATGTACACGAAGTTCAGGCCGGTTTTGCGCCTAGCGCCGCTCGGTTAGCGCTACACACACACTCACACAACCCTGCGCTGGTCGCGGCACCCGAGCTGTTTGGTGACGCCACGAGTCGTCGCCTTCGCGCGCGTTTCCAGGCGCGCGCCATCTCCAGACGACTCAGGCAAGGTGAAGGTGAAGGAGAGGGAGCTCCAACGACACCCCGCCACTCCTTCGGGCGTGGCTATGAAAGGCGAAGGTAGGGAAAGGTGGTAGGAAGGAGAAAACAACGCATATCCTCTGAGGGAACTCACGAACCCACTGCATGTCGAACGAAACCCGGGCGACCATAGTCACGATGGCCAATCGGGCAGTAAGCACGTGACACACAGGCGTCCGTTGGTCTTGTTCAATTAAAAGACTTTCTCAGCATATCAAGAGCGGCTGCGGCAACCCCGACACTGAACAGAAAGGCGAAAGCCCTTTTGAAGACCATCGACCCCGATCGACTCGAGCAAATACTGCCAGACACACACCAAGAAGATTCCCAGGCGACATCGGAATCCAGCGGGTACCACGATTGTCCCCATTGGGTTGTGGCCTCCCGGTCACCAGCACGTCCACCACCGTCGCACCACGCCACCATTGCCTTGCAAGCTACCTTTGCAGCTGTGTCTTGGCATCACAGCCATTGCCGACATTTTCGCCAAGTGGATAAGTAATCGAAGTCATCTTGCCTACTAATTTCTCCGTCACCTTTCTTCTCGTTCCGCCCCCACTCTCCTTTTTCTCTCCCCGTCTTCCCCCTCTCCCTCTTCTTTTTCTCCACTAGTTTCCTCTCTTGTCTCTCGCTTCTTCTTCTTCCCCTTCTTCTTCTCCTGACGTGTCGCCCTCCCCCACCCTCCCCTTAACCCACACTCGATTATGAATCCCAGATCCTGAAGCCTGAAATATCCCCATCTGATCCCGAAGCCCATCCCGTCCCTGGTCAGACACTATCCCATCCAAACAAAGAGCGTGGCATAGTCGTTCCCACGTATTGCCATCCRCTCTCCTCCTCCACCCTACCCGCTACTGCCCATTCCTGGTCTGACACTCACCCGCCCTCCCCCACCCTAGCCGCTACTGCCCATTCCTGGTCAGACACTATCCCATCCAGACAAAGAGCGTGGCATAGTCGTTCCCACGTATTGCCACCCGCTCTCCTCCTCCGCCCCCTTGTCTCCCAGATAGCCACCACCCCGACCCGACGTTTACCCGGCGCCCGACTTCCAACCCGACATCCCCCACCGCCCCGACCGCATTCCATGTTCTCCCTGCGCACACCCTGATCCATTTCCGCGCCCACCTCGATCCCTCCCCTCGCCCAACCCGATCCCTCTCATCACCCACCCCGATCCCTCCCCGCGCCCAGACCCGACGTATACCCGACGCCCGACTTCCAACCCGACATCCCCCACCGCCCCGATCCCGTTCCGTGTCCTCCCTGCGCACACCCAGATTCATCTCCACTCCCACCGCGATCCCTCCACTCGTCCAGCCCGATCCCTCTCATCACCCACCCCGATCCCTCCCCACGCCCACCCCCGATCCCTCCCCACACCCAAATCGATCCCCCCCAGTTCCTACCCCGATCCCTCTCCGTCCCCAATCTGATCCCTCTCAACTCCCACCACGTTCCCCTTCCCTTCCCCTTCCGTTCCCATCTTGGCCCTAAACAGAGCGCTCCTCAACCCCGATCCTTGTCCATCCCATAGCCGAGGAGGAGTCCTCCGTCGCAGATCCCATCGCCCTATCCATCCCGACCCCTCCCCGCACCCACCCTGATCCCCCCTCACACCCAAGTCGATCCCTTCCCGTTCTACCTCGATCCCTTTCCATCCCCAACCCGATCCCTCTCCACTCCCATCACGTTCCCTTTTCGCTCCCACCCTAGTCCTAGTCAGAGCATTCCTCAACTCCGATCCTAGTCCATCCCGTTGCCGAAGACTCCTCCCCGATCGCAGATTTCGTCGCCCCATCCATCCCAACCCCGCCCCGCCCCAACACTGATCCCTCGCCGCCCCACACTTTGCCCCGCCTCCATCTCAATCCCGGTCCCGACCCTGCTTGCACTTCGAACCGTCCTTATCCTGCTCTGGACTGAACCTTCCACATCCCCAGCTCCGAACCCTTTCCACAATCATCCGGTCTCCACTCCACCCCCGTCTCCGGTCCAACTCCATCTCGAGCCAGAACCCATCTCTGCCCCCGACCCCACTCCACGCCTGTCCCGTTACCATCCGTCGGATCCCATCCTGCACCCACCTTGATCCCACCCCGGCGCTGGCCCGACTGCCCAACAACTTATCTCCCTGATCCCACCTCACCCCCACCCTGATCCCACACTGGTGCTCCCCCTTCCACCTAATTAGACATCCCCCGTTCCCTCTTTCCTCGTAACTACGGCCAACCATCCACCAACCCAACCTCCCCCCCTTCCTCCCATCCCCCCACCCATCCATGCATACACTTAGTTACTTATTTTGTGAGTGTGCGAAAAGCTGTCAAACAGAGCAATGGAGGGAATGGGAATCGAAACACAAAACTGGCTCGCGGAGCAGACGAGAACGACACTGGTCAAAACCACCAAATGCATCGACCACGGCGGGAATAAAGAGAAGAAATGGTGGTCTATGAATGTCTGAAGGAACTGACGTCCAAGCAAGAAGAAATCCACAAGAAACACGCAGTGCTTTTCACCTTTTCCAAAAAAAGCCAGGAATTGGACAGACACCCCTGATCCCACCTCACCCCCACCCTGATCCCACACTGGCGCTCCCCCTTCCACCTAATTAGACATCCCCCGTTCCCTCTCTCCTCGTAACTCCGGCCAACCATCCACCAACCCACCCTCCCCCCCTTCCTCCCATCCCCCCACCCATCCATGCATACACTTAGTTACTTATTTCGTGAGTGTGCGAAAAGCTGTCAGACAGAGCAATGGAGGGAATGGGAATCGAAACACAAAACTGGCTCGCGGAGCAGACTAGAACGACACTGGTCAAAACCACCAAATGCATCGACCACGGCGGGAATAAAGAGAAGAAATGGTGGTCTATGAATGTTTGAAGGAACTGACGTCCAAGCAAGAAGAACTCCACAAGAAACACGCAGAGCTTTTCACCTTTTCCAAAAAAAGCCAGGAATTGGACAGACAAGCCAAATTGAAATGGATCTGGGAAAAACTGAAGTCGCCGGAACCAATTTAGGGGCAAGAACCAAAAGTGTCGTTCCAAACGAGATCAAGAAACGTTATCATGGTCTTGTGTATGGAGGAAGCTCTTGCTGCGTTTTTGAAAAACAAGTGTTTCACCTGTAACTCGTCAGTGGTCACAGTTCATCCATGGAAACAAGCGGCAAATTACCAGCAAACGACTTTCAGGTACAGACAAGAATTAATCAAAAAACATTTTTGGATTCAATTCGACAATGTACCTGAGGGAATGCACGATAGTATAAAAGAGAGGGTCAAAATGGAATACGGTCAATTTAAGGAAACGCATTGGATCGTTTCGACCCCGGATTTTCTAACCCCACAGCTCAGTACCCTTCACTCCAGATGAATGTTTTTTTTCGCATGAAAACAAAATCATCAGGATAACAATATCAAGCAAAACCAACCCTCTATGTTTCAAGTGCAGACGAAGGGGTCACCTGGGGACAGACGTCAACTGCCCGAAAACAAGCGAAAACGCAAAGCCCAAACCACTCAAAACTGCGAACCTACTGGAAGTAGCGAACAAAAAGGGGTATTGGTACATTCCAGATATGCAGTACGCAGGCTGGATGTTCAATGACAACCTGGATACACCGGGCTGGGTCTGGACCATCAATGGTGAGCCGACACCCAGACCAAATGTTTACCCGCCTTTCGACAGCAGGTGGCAAACGCTCAAAATTGAAAGAAAACCACCTAAATGCTTCACAAAGGACCCAGTGATACACGTGAACACACTGAAGCAAAAGATTTGGGAGAAAGACCTACGAACAGACCTGCAAACAGTGCAAGAAACCACGGAAAGAGAGTGGGTGGATGTTGTCAAGCGTTACCAGGAAGAGGAAAAGGCAAGGGGGGAACAAACCAAGCAGAGAACGTATTCCAGAAGACCACAGAAGGGAAAGGGAAAATCCAACCAGGGGCAGCGAATGGAAGCGGAAGGATCAGATGAGAACACCGAAAAAGGTGCAAGGGACACAGCGATGAAGGAAGGGGAGGAGGAGGAAAATCCGATGGTGGGGGGTAAGAGGAAACACAGTGAAGGTCAAAAAGAAAGAGAAGACAGAGAGGAGGAACAGGGAAATCCGGAGTCAGAGGGCTATCCATGGTCAGGAAAGCAGGAGAAGGAACTGCTGGAGTACATTCAGATCTATGAAAAATTAAGACAAGACAATTTTGAGCTTCAACTGATACTGCCCCGGGAGGAACAGAAAAGCAAACAGAAAGCAAAAATCCCCAACCCATCACAACTAATCCCTCTGTCTGAGAATCCATTCGCTCCGCTGGAAAGGGAGGAGGAACCGGCAACCTTGTTTGCAGAAAAATACGTTGCAACCAAAGAACATCACGAAATGGAAATTGACGGGAACAACTCAGGCATGCTGAAGGAGAAGAATCAAAATAAGGGAAAAAAGTTGCCAAATTGCAGACATTCGCAGTTCTTTATGGATCAAGGGAAACATCAGGGGCAAGAGGAGCAGAGTAAGGGAATGACAACAATCACGCAACTGGGCATTCAGGTCGAGGCCTTGTATGCTCAAAATAGCCGACTAGCTGACCTGAACCGAGAAATGTCCCTCCGCACAGTAACAGATCAGGACCTACAACACAAGGCACACGAAGAGTTCTGGAAGAGGGCCGAAAAGGAAGCAAGTACTCTATTGCCATCGCGGGCGGTAATTCCCGTTCAAAGGAACCCGGTAACAGAGGAATGGAATGTAGCACTGCACGAAGACCTCTCGGTAATCAGATGGCAATTGGGACAAAAGAGGGAGGACGTGCTGAAAAAGATCAGCAAGAGGAAAGAAACGAACTTCATGGGGCTGGCTGGCAAACTGCAAAAGGAGGGGGAGACGGAGCGATCGGAAACAGTTGGAGGATCTGACGGAAAAGGCCAAGCACAACACGATGCAAGATCGTTGATAGTCTGGTTGGACCAAGGGACGAAACTCTCCCAAGATCTGCAGTGGAGGCCATGGTGGTGGATGACGGCATTACTGGTAACAGCCCTAGGAGGCGAAACAACCATGACTCAGAATGCAGTGGCTCTAGCAACATTAGTCGATTCAGGAGTGTTGGAGCAGGATGAGAACAGGCTACCATCCCTCCTTACCCCACTGGAGGAGGAGGCTTGGAGTAGCTCTGAGATATAAAAGGATAGCACAAATTTCAAAGGAAGATCACTCTCGATAAGCCATAAAGGCACCAAGGGGGGACCTGGTGATCCAATCCTAGAATGTGAGGGGGTTAGCAACTATCCTGGCAAACCCGCAAAAGTGGAGTTGCTTGCTGAACACAACGGGTTGGAACAGCCCTAATCCCCCGGACTTGGTTTGCCTTCAGGAAACACATCTTCCTAACACACCTACACACAGAACAGTAGAAAGGGAAATCATTGGAAGGTTAAAAAACTGCGCCGCAGTAGTATCGGCACATAGCCCACAATCAGCCTCAGTAGGCGTCATCACATTAATACAGAACATCTGCAATTAGAATCGTCGACAACGGATTCAATAGGTGGTAGATGGACCAAATGAGAGTTAACGGTCAAGGGAGAAGACATTATATTTGGTAAATCTATACGTCCCAAATTCCTCGGTAGAGAGAACAATATTTTTCGAAGAGATAGGAAGGTTAATCCACCCACAGAAACACACAATTCTAGTGGGAGACTGGAACACTACCCAGAACTCTCAGTTGGACAGGATCTCATAGGCAGAACAAACCTCGCAGGACCCTGCAGAGGTGGCGCTAGCCAAAACAATCTTAAGGACCCTTATAGGGTCCTTAACCCAGAGAAAAAAAACTATACCTACATCAAGAAAACAATTCAGGGTAGAACTTCCTTCTCAAGGATAGACTTCTTCCTTATATCAAAATTCTTGGAAGGGGCGGTCTTAGACAGTACAATAGGAAAAATTCCCCATTACAATGGATATGACCATAACCCTACTGGTATAAATCTAGCTCTATCCCTAGACAATTCTCCCGGGAAAAGTTTTTTCAAGCTGAACACCTCTCTCCTCAATCTAGATTCATTCAAGCAAGAATTCAAAGCCAGGTGGGAGGAAATGAAGGAGAAACTAAATGAGGGAGAATTAGTAATAGACCTCCCACCAACCATCCAGGAAATAAGTCACTGGGCGAGTCTTTTCTCAAGAAAGGAGGCCAGCAGAAGGAAGGCAAGACAACAAAGCCTGAAGGTCATGGTGGAAATTGCAAAATTTAATCTAATAGTCAATCCAGGAGTAAGTTTGTACGAACAACTTCTCGAAGAGGTGCGAACAGAGCTTAGTCAACAGGCAGAGTGGAGAAGACAGGGTTTGGCCATAAGGGCCAGAGTAAAGGATTGGGAATGCAACGAGAACATGACAAAATACTTCTTCCAAAAGATTAAAGTCGGTCACAGGAACAGCAGAATACATGCCTTAAGGGATTCCCCTAGGCAACACGCAAACCTCACAGGAAGGTCTCCTGAAAGTAGGGTCAGATTTCTATCAAAACCTATATGCGTCTAAATCCTTCCTTGAAAATTCTGGCAATGTGCGAAAAGCAAGGGAGAAATTCTTAAAATACTTAGACAAAAGTCTCAATCAGGAATCAACTGAAGCCCTAGAAAGCGATATTACTAAGGCAGAGTTATTTGAATCCCTCAAGAGTATGCAGCCTAATAAAACCCCAAGCAGGGACGGGCTCCCAAAAGAGTTCTGGCAAGCCAACTAGCACCAAGTAGGGGAAACCGTTACTGATTTTTTCAAAGAGGCCTTCGCTAAAGGCTCTATAGGAGAGGACTGCAGCACAGGCGTAGTCACTCTGCTATATAAGAAGGGTGATCGCGCTGACATAAAAAACTACAGACCCATAACTCTCTTACCGGTAATATACAAAATACTAGCTAAAACCCTAGCTAACAGAATAAGGAATATCACAGACAAATGTTTTCACATAAACCAAACGGGTTTCATTCCAGGAAGATATATTCTCGACAATGTAGTAACCCTGAACGAGGCCACTAAATTCATAAGGGATAAAAAAAATACAAGCAGCCATATTATTTTTCGACTTCGAAAAAGCTTACGATCAGGTAAACCTGGACTTCCTTCAGTAGAGTATGGAAAAAATAGGAGTAGGACCAAACTTCAGAAGATGGGTAAAATACTATACGGGGATGCCAGGGGGATGGTACAGGTCAATGGATTCCTTTCAGAAAAATACAGAATGACCAGATCCATTAGACAGGGAGATCCACTCGCAGCACCAATTTTCTTGTTCGTGATGGAAGCAATAGCAGCCTTCCTTCGCAAGGACCCATCAATAGAAAGGCTAGTTATTCAGCAAGCTGGAAGGTATTTTCCCGTACCCACAGCTACACTCTTCGCGGATGATCTTAACAGTACTGATCAGAGCTCTGACTCCTCGTTCCAAACCCTCACAAAAGCAATGCAAGCCTTCCAACTTGCAATGGAAATGAAAATTAATTGGAATAAAATAGTTGGATGGTGGTTAGCCTCCTCACATCCTTCCCAACAAACCCAAACCACCCAGGGACTGCAATGGTTGGACACTCAGCAGCCGATGCGTTTTCTCGGCATCCAAATTTCAACCGAAGGGACCAATAATATATCAGGGACTAGTCTTCTCCTCAAAATGACAAACAGACTCCCTGGATGGCAAGCAACGAATGTATCTCTTATGGGTAGAGTGTTAGTACTTGATACTGCAATCCTGTCAACGGGATGGTTGTGGCGTCTCTCTGGAACCCACCGACAAGTTTTTTCACAACCCTCAAAAGGAAACTAGGATCTTACCTATGGACTGGGAAAGCGGAAAAAGAACATTACATCTCCAAAGTGGTCTGGCAGTACATCACCAGACTCAAACTTCAGGGGGGGTTAGGTCTTTTGAACCCGGCTGTACAATTTCAAGCATTACAACACAAGTGGATAATAAAACTCCTTTTTAACAGGGAACTACCATGGCATGAAATGGCTCTCCACCAGGTACGCAACCTGGTACCTTTCAGAGTTGATCCCTCCATAGAAGGATACCATTGGATCCTCAATCCCTGATGGAACCCAAGAAGGATGGAAAGGGGGAGAACGACAAGGGATAAAGACCCCCCGAGTGAGCACTGGGCCACACTAATAAAGCTCTGGAGAAATTGCTTCCCGAAAAAGATAAGAACTCCCAAGTATAAGAGAGGAAGTTCTGAGGCAGCCGCTATTCGGGAACCCCCTGATGAGGGACCATAACGGCAAAACATGGTCCTTAAACGCGAAAGGCATGCATTGGAGAATGGATGAGCAGGGAAGTGTGGAAAATAGAACATATATGGATCTCGGAGGAAAGAAGATGGGCCATCGCGCAAGACCTCAGATCCAAATTCAAAGGGGTTCACAATCTAAAAGAACAGCTAGACAAACTGCTAGAAAGTGTCCCTCTGAAATGGGTACTCCTTCTGAAGAGCAAATCCAAGTGGTCAGTGGGGGACTGGGCCACAAGAAGAGAGCTAGACCATCCTTCGAGTCCTGCCATCTATTCATGTGTTTCTTGATCCACTCAAAAATCCCTGGGTCCTTCAGGTGCGTGACGTTCAGTCTGAAGCGGCCTTTTCTGTCTGTCTATGTCGGGGTTGACAATGAACTCGGCTGGTAGCGGGTAATGATCCGAGATATCCGTCACATGGGCTTCCGTGCTTATGCTTCTTTCACAGAATGATCCTCTGGTCAAAAAGAAGTCTCTTCTTCTTGGACCTATCCTGGATGTTGATGTCCGAGGGCCGAACCATGTGAAACCCGGGTTATCCGGGTTCATGGTCCGATAGATATCTGTGAAGTCCAGCGTTGTCATAAATTCTAGCAGTGTGTTAGTGTCCCTTCTGGTGGCGGTCACATCTGGAGAATCAAGACCAGGTAGCAAGATCGTATTCCAATCTGCTGCTATCAGCAGATTTTCTGTGTCTGGTATGTAGGCTGGYAGATTCTCAAAGAATGTGGTGCGCTCTMGGTATATCACTGGGGCATACACTGACATGACCGMCCAATCTTCTTGACCTGCTGTAAACTTAACCCATACAAATCGACCTTGCGGGTCCGCAAAATTATCTATTATGTCGACGTCCAGATTCTCATGGAACAGTATTCCCGTTCCGCCTTTGGTGCCCTCTGCCGGAGCCCAGAACTGAGGGCCTTTCCACCAGCGTTGAGGGTGTGCGATTTTATTTTGATCCAGTTTGGACTCTTGAACACAAAGGATATGTGCTTTTTGTGAGCGGCACCAATTAGCAATTCTGCTGTTATGGTGTTTTTTGGAGGTATCTCCAAGGCCTCGCACGTTCCAACACGCAATTCTAATGCGGTCTGGCAAGACCATTGGGGGGTCTTCCCGAACCGCCGTGTTGCTGGATACGACGAGACTGATCAACCGGATTCTTTCGTCTCATGTCTTCCTCTTCTGGTGGGGTGGGGAGCTCAGTGAGAGTCCACGGACTCTTCAACTGAGCTCCAAACTGCTCTGAGAGAACGAATTCTATCAGAGCAGTTTGGCTGATCCACTCAGCGATTACCCCGGCCGAGAGCCCTTCAACCAGCTGGATAGACTTCAAAGTCTTACTGTTCAGATCTGCGAATTCAGACATAGCCACCCAAAATGGGAACTTGGCTTGGAAGCTCTCTCTTAGTTCATCTGAAATGTGTATGTGCATGAACACAGTGAAGAGCACAATCTTTTCCCCCCCAGCTGTGTCCACAACCTGTCTCCCCATCTTAGGTTCGGGCAGGATACGGACTTGTCCAATAACATTAATTATTTTCCTTACCGCCCCTAAAATAGAGAGATCTGTGGGGTGGCCAACCAACCTGGAAACTGGCAAGCTCAACGATCCGGAGGGCTGTGTGAAGGTGAGCACCAAAGGTCCCTTGTCTGATGAGACACATATCAGTGGGACTAGAAATTGTTCCGGAATCCCTTTGTCCTTTCTGGACAGGCTCTTCATTGGCTTGGCAGAAGAGAGGGCAGGAATTTTCAAGCTTCTCCCGTTTTTGAGTGGTTCTTTGGCTTTTTGTGACTGTCTCTGAAGGCCAGAAGAGGCCGGGCGGGTCATTCTGTTGGAGTGAGGGTCCTGACTGTCATGGTCTCTACCTGTCCCAGTCTCACTGGTTCTGGCTTTCTTGTGCAAGGACACCGGGCTTTGGATCTGCTGGCTTCTGGGTGAGTGATCCGGAGTGATTTCCGATGAGTCTTTGGACCCGTTTGGCCGTGATGAGCCTGGTTCAGTTTCCGATCCAGCAGTAATTCTGAGCGGTTGATCCTGCTGTCTGTTCTGACTTAGGTTACTTATCCTGATTTCCCTTTGCTGCATTGAGTTGTCGGACCATCTAGACCTGTCTACGTCTTGCCAATCTTCGAAAGGGGCGAGAGAACGTCTTTCTCCCGAAAAGATTGCATTAAAGTGAGAGGAAGGATACAGGCTCAGGTTGCTATGCTTTGGATCCAGGGAATTTCTGCTGTGATTCCACTCCGAGGCTTCTGAGTCCAGATCCGAGGGTCCAGTCAGTCTTTTTTCCTGTCCGCTCATCCAGTGTGATGTGTCATAGGTTCTTTCCACTTCTTCTTCTTGATGCTTATTGCAGCCTGAAAAAGAAGATGGTGAGAAGGAGCCCCTGGTACCCCTCCTTGCCCCACCAAGTGTGTCTTGATGTGGAAGGCGTTGGCCCGGGGTTCCCTCTCCTCTCCCCACCCTCATTCCCACCCGTTATCCTGCTCGTCCTTCCCTGCTGGTTTGGATTGCCTTGTCCACCACTGGCTCCGGGACGATCTCCACCAGCGGGAGGGGGGGGAGGAGGAGGAGGGGGTGGGGGTGGAGATGGTGGGGTGGCCGGTGGGGTCTGGGCTCTCCATACTTGTGAACGCCCATTGTGTCCATATCCACGCAGTTCCGTGCCGGGCATTCCTCATCATACTCGTTGTGAAAGAATCCTTTGCATTCCGGACACCAAGGGGTGTCTGGGGCTGCAACCTCGATTTCTACCATTCCTCCATTGTTCGGGAGGTCGATAGAAAGGTATCTGGCGTATCGATCCTTGGATCCAGGTTCCAGGTTGAACCTGACGCTGGCCAATTCTGGCTCCTCTGGTTTCTTTGTTACTGAACTTTCCTTGATTACTTTACCAAAGGCTAATTCAACCGCATCCTTGAGAACTGGTAACACAGCGATGGGAATCCGCAGGCACCGAACCCAGAATGAATCAATCTTTAACTTTTCCCTCCATTCCTGGATTTCCCGTTCCGATATCCAGGGCTTAAAGTACACATCATACTGATTTCCATCCAGTTCCACTCCATCACTTTCCATTCTAAGCATCCATTGAGCAACTTCCCTATTGCATGCAACGTACGATAAGAGATTCTTACCCTCATTTCTAAAAAATCCCCTTTTCGGCTCGTCTCCCAGCATCGGCATGCCAATCCATCCATTCTCATACCGCCGGATCACCCTGCGTTTGATGTCTGTCGGAAGGGACACTGCGGCCTGACCAAAGAAAACCATTACCACATGTTCATGAAGCCACTGTGTTTGCACTTCGTAAATTCTCGGGTCAATCTTAATTCTAACCCTGTCAGGTTCTCTTATCACTCGTGTGAATTGTGGAGTGCAAAGACCTGAAGGAAGGATCCTCTGTCTGTAGCAATCATCGAATACCTTCCACAGTCGATCTCTTTCTTCATCCGAGAATTCTTCTGGCCGGCCCCTGTGACCTGTGTGGCCTACCCCATTCTGATGGTTACCCTCCATTCATTGAGGAGTACGGAATTACTCACGAGACTGACCTATGACAATGTCCCTGGCTAGATACAGAACAGCATGTATCGAGCAAGTAGATAGATTGGAGTTATAGTATGATTTCTCCTGGGCGATATCCTCGGTTATCGGCGAATTACCTGAGCTGGACAGTTCTGGAAACCGCTTGCTTGTAGATGGCGTTAACGCGCTTCGTGGAATGTGCCCTGCTCCTTGCTGCGTGGCGGTCGTCTCGTCTTGGAGTATCCACCTGGTGTGCCTCGGTCTGTACGAAGCCGATGAAGGAACAGATATACGTCGGCGCTGTGAGCAACCGTAGTCCGTGATGCTGCTTGGATCCACTCCTCGATCCCGAAGCTTGGCTGAGAGCTATCTTAACTCTTAACCCGCCTGAATCGACAGTTTCTAATACTACGCTCCCCGTTGGAATTCTCGAATAATTCGTAATCTATCCTATCTCCGTTTGCACTTATCCTGTCTTTACCGCGTATCCCTTCAGTTTACTTGACAATTATCCTGCGTTCTACTGTCCGTTGAGTTCCGCAATTGGTGTGAACTAGATTTTCCCTATCTGTTTCACCGTCCCTGGTCTCTCACTTGCGTGGCGTCTGTAAACTGGTAAGCTGAGATGCAAGATAACAACTATCGAATTGGAGTGCCTCAACTCGCCTATCGTCCGCCCCGTAGCTTGGAGCCTTCTCTTCTCTACTCACAGCCTGACGCCTGTCTCCTCGGAGATCCTTGTGCGACTACTATCCTACCAATTTCACTACAGGATCTGACACACTTCTCAAAAGGCGGTCCGTTCCCCGTTCCACCATTTACGTCGACTTCCCCTTCTAGGATAGAAATCGGGCAGCTGTACTGCCGAGCAGATGTACCTTGTCCTTGAGTCCGACCGCTGTTGGAGCTGTCTTCCTGTCTTGAGTGGTGGAGACCTGGAAGTTCGTCTCAAATCGTTCTGAGCTAACCGGAGCTCTGCTCAGTGTGAATATCGCTGTGTCCGGATGAGGGTCTGGCAAGGATAGGCATGGTTTGCGTTCCAATTTTAACGGATGTCCCGAAGGACTTTTTTGCCGTTCTAGATTCAACCTCTGCATTCTTTTTTTTTTTTGAAAAATAGAGAGGCTAATTCTTTAAGCCCAACCAATTCAATTGCCTGTCGAATCTGGACAGGACGGCCTTTCAGGCCTTTTTTGTTGTCATTATAGTATTACGGGCAAAGCCACATCCGTGCACAAAGCCTCCAACGAGGGAACATGCGGGAGCTTCACCCACCAGCAGGTGCGATACCTGCTACAGCAGGTGGGCGATATCGGCCAGGGGTCAGCCCGTAGCATCAGGACAGCCCGTAGCATCAGGACCTACATTAGCTTCTTTGATGGGCGAGTCACTGTGCCTCCCCTCCGGTCCCCTCCCCCTATGAAGATCAGCAGTCTCTGCTCAATGCCACTCGGGGGGACCAACGGCATATCTCTAGGTGGCGTTGCCGTTGGCGGGCGCCAAGCTTGCCCAGGAAGTTGCATGAGGCCAATGGGGATTGAACCTAAGACCTCCTGAATGCCACTTGTGTGCCTTACCAACTGAGCTAGGCCGCTGGATACCTCTGCATTCTCAACCCGCTTCCTTTTTTTTTAAGCCCCCTTTTTATTTTTCTTCTCCTGTTTGACTTGCACTTTGACCCGCGCAAAGGGCACAGGCACAGTTAGCACTTTCCAAAACGCATCTGACTGCGGTTACGGGCAGACCTGGATGAATCTGACTGCCATCACGTCCAGAGCGTTGTACAAAAAAGCCCTAGTGCCAGTATGCCCCCCAAACATGCATCTGCAAAGCAATTCCGGAGGAGAAGGTCACCTGGATGGAATGGAGAGAACAAAATATACAGTTGTTCTAAAGATAATGCAGATTTAAAAAAATAAAAGAAAGATGATGCAGAATTGATCTTTTATTTCCCCCCCAAAAAAAGAAAAAAAAGGTTTGATCTCTTATCCGTTCGTCAACGAGTGGATGTCAGGGGCCGGGCTAGGACCCATTAGCGCTTTTTTTCTTTTTTCTTTTTTTCTTTTTCAATAACGAAAACGCCACCATTGAATATATTCAAGGAATTTAGCAGGAGGCTGGGGACCTCACAATTCCACCCGGGATTATCCTGGCAGCATCAGCCAGTTTCGCTTACGGCCTTAGCAGAACTAAGGACCCGAATTACTTCAGCTTTCCAAATCAATGCAAACCTCTGAAACTGTCCCTCAAGTCTAGCCGGCCAGGTGGAGCTTTGTTCCTTGTTCCTTATCACTCTTCTGCCTGGCCCACAGCGGCCCTACCAACCGAGTGAGCTGGTTAGGACACTGGTACTCTCTAGCCTCCTCCCTACCGACCGAGTACCCTGGTCACCTAACCTCCAATCCACCCTCCTATCTAAAGTTATCTACTCTACTAAAGCTCCCTAGACTACTCAGAGTTCAGCCACTTCGAAATCACCAGACCTCTGGCTGAGTGCACACCAGCCAATTGGTTACCTTTTGCCCAGGATCTTAAGAACCACCAGAGTTTCTTCCTTGGTCCTTTTCCACAGTTGGCTTTTCTGCGCCAATCTGCCTGGATCGCCCTCCTCAGACCCCGTTTGATACCAACCTTGATCTCTCCATCCGAGTAGGGACGCTGCTCGAACCTGGATCTGTTCCTATCTGCCCATATGACAGAGCAGATCACTGACCTGACTACCTGAGCCACGTAAGCCCACCCTTTCAGCCCTGTCTGATCCCCCCCTACAAAACCTAACAGAACCCACCTTTCATCCCAGTCAATCCTTTCCCCTCCTATCCTTCTCCAATGGTCCTCCCACCACCTCCAAATCCTCCTCGATGCCGGACAGTCCCACCAAAGATGTTTGGTGGACTCAAACGGCCAAGAACAGCGTGTACACTTCAGGGACATTTCCATTCCCCTGCTGCATAACCAAACAGCAGAGGGGGTAACAAGCAGAGATATCATCCATAACAGGCTTGCTTGCTTCAGATCTGGCAGGGTAAGCGGAACCCTCCACAGAGCCCTAAATTCGTCTTCTTTCCCTTGTAGATCCTCAATCAAAACTGAACTCCACCTGGCTATCGCCACTGCTGCTGGGGATCTCCCTCTCTGCTCCGCTAACCTGTAGGAATCTCCTACCGAAAAATTTGAGAGGTCTAGCCCCCGCCCGCGCTGGATTGTAGGCAAGCCTCCCCTCCAACTCCATGCTATCGGATCGATAGCCAGTTCACGGAGCGGGACCTTCCCTACCCAGATGGAGGAAAGCCGTCTCCCTCTCCGATCCAGTTTATGGATCACTCTTGCCTGCGGTGGATTAGACCACTGTCTAATTGTTTCCACCTCTGTCGGTATTAGATATGCCGACTGTTTTGATACCGACCACTTGCGGATCTCCCTGAACCCGCTATCAGTCAATCGCTGCAGTTCCCACAGCTCCTCCCTTCTGTCTGTCTGTGGGGGGACATACCAAGTGCCTACTGGGTCGGTCCTCTCTGGTCCCAGAATCTCTTTCCAATCTTCTGGGATGGCCTTTAGTACTCTCTTCCAGTGCTCATCCGTATGCCAAAGGCCCTGAAGTACCAGGTGGACCTGGCTGAAGGGTTTCCAAGTACCCAGCAGTTCTGACCAGAGATCTGCGATTCTGGTCACACCCCTCCGGATCCATGCCTTCCCAAATGAGCCTGGTGAGGAATCTGCTAATAGGAGGGATCCATTCTCCTCCCGAATGAACTGATTTTCAAACAAGCCCTGTCGGAGGACTTCCTCTCTTGTCAATGGGGAAGTCGGTACTTCTGGCGGATGTTGGAGCCAGGCCCTCCGTACCGCATCCCAGAACTCCGAACACAGCCTCTTCTTTGCAAACGAATTCACAAAAAAACACAGCCAAACATCCTCTGCTCTGCACAATTGCCATTCCCGCATTCGTATTTTCTCCGCCAGTAGGATCCAGTCCTTTTCTTCCGCCATCGCTACTTCTGCTAGCCATTTCCTTAGTTGTGCTTGATTCTTCCGCTGGAGGTCCATCAGACCCAGGCCTCCCAGCTCCTTGGGGAATGTAATCAGATCCCATGCGACCTTAACCATGAACCCCTCTTCTGCTGCAGCTCGTGGTTTCCACAGGAACTTCGTGGCCAGTCGCCTGATCTGTCTCACCACTACAGACGCCAACTCTCTGACTGCCCCCATAAACCAAATGAGCGAGAACAAAGCTACATTAATAGCTAAGGCCCTCCCATAGAGCGATAGATGCCACGCTGCACCCTAGGCTTTGGATCTGGTTGGATGCATGGGTTCTGTTTATGGCGGATCTTGGGTGTGCATGATCGCACTCTTTTGAGAGTATTGAGATTTTGTGTTGACCTTGGCTCTATTATCCTAACTGGTTTTACCCAAGATTTCTGCACTTCCTCCAACTCATAAACGGCGAACTCGGCCTTACCTTCTTCTGTGTTCGACACCTGGAAAATTGACACACCCATTCAGCTCCCAAATCCCAACTGCCACAACCATGGTGGACATGTGTTCACACGCGGCGGATTACTTTAAAGATATCCTTACCTCAAGAAGACCAAACGACAACTTAGAAACAAATCTGTCAATAAATTCAGAATTCTGGAATCACTCAAAGATAAGCCTCCACTCACATTCTAGGCTAGATCTGGACAGACCCCTCACTCTAGTCGAACTCAGATTTGCAGCAGGACAAATGGCGCTCGGGAAATGCCCGGGCCCAGATGGTCTTCCGGTGGAGATGTTCATAGCTACCTGGGACGTAATGGGCCCATTCCTCCTACAAATATACAATGGACTTCTAGAAGAGAAAGACCTACCCACAGGATGGGTGAAAGGTATTATCACTTTGTTATACAAGAAGGGAGACAAGAGGGACGTTCGTAACTGGCGTCCGATCTCCCTTCTAAACGTCGCGTACAAAATTCTGGCAAAAGCTCTAGCCTTGAGACTGGCCAGACACTTACCACAGTTAATCGGCAGCGAACAAGGGGCGTTCGTGAGAGGATGCTCCATTTTCGAAAATATTCTGACTACTATGCAAGCACTAGAAATTATAAGCACCGAAAAGAGAGAAGTAGCAGTTATCCTATTGGACCTAGAAAAAGCCTACGACAAAGTAGGGTGGGCTTTTGTGGCCACGACTCTCAAACACATGAACTTTGGAACGTCCTTCTACAAATGGGTACAAGCAATGTACTCCAAAGCTACAGCGGTAGTCAATGTAAATGGAAAACTTTCACCGAGTTTCTCGCTGATGCGTTCCCTAAGACAAAGATGCCCACTCGCCCCCCTATTGTTTGCAATTCAGCTAGAAGTGTTTCTTGACAACATTCGACATAATGAGACCATCGTGGGTCTCAAGCTCACCCCAACATTACAATTGAAATGCAGTGCCATTGCGGACGATCTCACAGTTTGCTGCACGAACACAAAAGAATCCCTAGACGAACTTCACAAAGTAATAGAGAACTGTTGCCACCTCTCAGAAGCCTCCATCAACTGGAACAAATCCACATTTTTGCTTCCAGAACTGTTCCATCTAGAGGCAGACTGGGGTATGCAGCAAGTGCCTGTCCAAAGCTCCGAACGCCTCCTCGGGTTCCAAGTTTCACTCTTGGATGCATCTGCTACCCAAGACCTTCTCCTCTCAACCAAAGTAATCTCACGCATCACAAACTGGGAAAAATCATATTCGCTCTCACTATTTGGAAGAGCACTTGTCCTATCATCTGCAGCATTCTCCATCCTGTCTTTCCCTTGTACCATTCACATGCTGGGAGCAGTCGCATACAAAGCCATAAGGAAGTCAGCAGCAAAATACCTATGGAAACCAAAAGTCGAGCAGGATCGTGGCTTTCTACCAAAAGTAGCCTGGGAAATGCTCTCAGCAAAAAGGGACCAAGGGGGTCTAGGGATCCTAGACCCGGCAGTACAAAACAAAGCTTTATTAGCTAAATGGCCGGCCAAAGCAATGCTAGATGATCAGAGCTATCTATGGAAGAGATTTGCTGAGTATATCCTGAGCACAGAATGGGACTTAGCTAAACCAAGAGATGTATGGAGATGCATAGACATCCCCTCTTTTGCCAGGAAAAGACCCAAAAGCAGACTGTGGAGAAATATGTTGGCCGCATGGAGCAGGATTCGCCCGACAACTTGTGAACCCCCAACCACCAAATCAGAAATCCTTTTGCAACCACTGTTTGAGAATCCAAGCATCCTCCAAGATGACGGCCTCCCATTTCCAGCCAATGAGTCCAAAGGCAGTTTCGGTAGGACATGGATAACCAAAGGAATTATCCAAGTTAGAGACTTATGGGATCCGGAGAAGGAAGACTGGATTACGTCAGAGAATCTGCGAACAAAACTACCAAGGTTGCACAACATTACCAGTAACCTTAATAAACTTTTGACAGCCCTACCAGCAACATGGAAAAGCTCGTTACAAAAAGCCCCCATTCACGCAGGAGACGGTTCCAAAGACCAACCGCTGAAATTTGGGGAAGAAACTAGGATAGTTGAAGGGCCAGAATGGGAAGAAGTTGTGGAAATCAGAGTCTGGGCCCGATTTGATTCAAAGGGTAATGAACAGTGCAAAATGGGCAGAGAAGCAGATACTTATGTTGTAGAACCATTCCTCCAAGGCTGGAACCTGCAAGGCAGGAAAGAGAGATTCCAGCCTTTAGCACAATACAAACCCAAAATAGGAGCAGCAATACAAAGGGATCTTGCTCAAAAGAAGCCAACCAGCACAGCAATCACAAGATGGGCGGATAGACATCCACAGTCTATGACCGAGGAGAGATTAACGTGTCTATGGAAACAACTCAAGAAGGTCCCGGAACAAAGGATAGCCAGTCTTCTCTGGCTTCAATCGTTAGACGTGATCCCATCTGCAGAATGGTTATTAGCTAAACAAATGGAAGTCCCCCGAGCCTGCAGTAGGTGTCAATGGGCCTGGGAGACGACTTCACACATCTGGATTCAATGTCCCTTCTCCTTGAAAATATGGCAATGGTGGCGAAAACATTGGACAGCCTTTTCCTCAAACGCTTTTCAATGGACGGACTCTTGGATTGAAACCGGAATCATCCCGACTGTAACAAACTTTTCGTCTGGATGGGGATATGTCGGGCAAGTTGCCCGGG